TTTGAGTTGGTTAATGAGAGTTAAATCAGAAGAGTCTAGGTTTGACTGCTAGAGGGAAGTGGTACCTTGTAAAAACACACAAACAACCATATAGTGCAAAAAAAAAAAGTGAATTATATTATATAATATTTACTAAAGTCTATATATACAGACAAGTAATTGAAAGATTCCAAAACATGAAATATCCACAAATGTTTTTGCTTAGCCGGGGGGGTCACAGTTCAACTCCTTGATGAGAGTAAGATGGATGGTTCAGTCCAGAAAGAGAATGTGGATGTAAGCTTAAACACCTCCTACCAGACTGGATGGAGTTGAGGAGATTCAACAGTTCTCCCGGTTCATTGTAGGGTAGCTTGCCAGTCTGGTCAGCTCAACAACAGACACGATCCGGAATCAGGATCAACATCAGGAACCTGGCCTGTATAAAGCAGACCTTATAATAAATAACCCTGGGTTTAATCAACATCAAAATAATTTCATAAATATAATCAATACATGTATATGCTTTTCCATCTTTACTATAGTAAATAAGTTTAGATTATAAATAGAATTAAACTCATTTGAGTACTCTTCAATAATCATTAACATTAGATTTCTTAATATTTCACATTAGCACAAAATAGCATTTCACCATTTAATGTACCTTCCAGTTAATTGCTTCAAGATGACGTCAAAAGAATATTCAAATAAAGTTTGTTAGCATTAGCAGAACTAACACAGAGCCCAATTACCTAGAGGCTCGCACTACTGCCAGCTCCAGAAAACAAACAAAACACTCACCAGTTCCTACGGTTAAAACACATGATCAGCAGAAGGTTTCTGTCCCACAAATACACATATAAGGCATATCAGTCAGATGTGGCACTACCTGCAGCAGCAACTGTAAAGCCTCTCCCACCTTGCCTAATGAGCACCAGCTGACTTAATGAGACACTGACGGTTGCATACTGCTACCAGTCAGGTGATTATGAAATACCAGTCATGTGATAATGAAACCATGCGAGAACAAACACATTGAATAGTGTTTGTTCTTGCTTGTTTTCTTTTTACTTAAGAAAATCAAGGAAATTACTTTTTCCAAATAAAATTTTGAAATTAATGAAATAATTAACAATAAATAATTATTTAAGAACATTACTTCTTGGGAACCTAATTTCAACCACACAAAAAAATAAAATGTAAGGGGAAAAAACACTATTAGTAATAAATAACAAAATTATTTTACTAGGAATGGAGAAAATTACCCTGATTACATAGAAAAATCTTAAAAAGTTAAGTCTGGTCCTCTGGACATTCAAAAAACAAAACAAAACAAAAAAATTGTAGAAACGTTTCATCTTCCATATGAAAGACTGAAGAAATCTTTTGTATGGAAGACAAAACGTTTCTACAATTTTTTTTTTTTTTTTTTTTTTTTTTTTTAAATGTCCAGAGGACCAGACTTAACTTTTTTACACTCGGACTTTAAGTTCAATAAACAGACTAACTCTGTTCTTAAAATAGTTTCTTCTGATTAAGCCAGCCTGGTCCTCAGGGCAACTAAAGACCTGGTCAACTGCATGGACCAGCCTGGACTTTGGGACAGCTCAAGACTTGATCACCTCGTTGGACCAGCCTGGACATTAGGACAGCTAAAGACCTGATCACCTCTGTGGATCAGCCATGACCTCAGGAAAACTAAAAGACCTAATCACCTCTGTGGACCAGCCTGGACCTCAGAACAGCTAAAGTCCTGA